ATTAGTACATAGAAAACTTTTTTTTTACTAAGATAACCTTTTTACTCACTAACTAAAAGTTGTTCAGAGTATAATTTTATATATATTTTTTACTTTAAAACTGTTAAATTTTTTCTTTTGATAGTTATATTTTTAAAATATACAAAAATTGCAAAATTTTAATTCAGCTTCGAAAGTATTTTATTCTCCTCTACTTGATGTATTTATTTATAAAATTTAATTTAAAGTTAATATGTAAAGGAAAAAACATCATTACAACAAAGTTTATATATAATTCTATATAGAGACCTTCACAGCAAAAGGTGGCAATGAGCCAAAAATTTTTATTCTGTAATTTTGTAAAAATTATATGCCTATTACTTTAATTCTTCAAGAAATTTGATTTTTTAAAAAAAAAATTTTTTTGGCCCATTGCCACCTTTTGCTATGGAGGTCTCCATATGTTTTTGCTATAATTTGATATATAAAAAACACTATATATAAATTTTATACCAAATTAGGTGACTGATACATCATATATACTTTTTGTTTTATATTTTTTTTTTTTTCTTTATTTTTTTCAGTTTATTTCGTTCCTTTTTTTTGTTTTATTTTCTCTGCTTTTTTCTTTCTCTATTTTTTTTTTTTTTTTTTCTTCCTTTTTTTTTTTTTTTTTTTTTTTTTTTTTTTTTTTTTTTTTTTTTATACAATAATCCTTTTAAGAATTTTTCTTAATGATGATTAACTTTTTGATGTTTCAAAAATGACAATTCTTTTGTCTGAATCTACTAATCGGTTATATGGAATATTGTAAAAGGAATTGCTTTTGACTGATCAACAATTTTTGCTTCTCATTTAGATGATCAGTAAATAAGAATATTTGTAGGTAGGAACTATTGTAGAATTTACAAAATTCTCTATACTATAATACATCGAACTTTGACTGCAATATTTGTTCTTGCTTCTGCTCTGAACTGATTATCAACAACGGTTGAGGTTAATGTTCTTTCAATCCCATCGTCAATATTTTCTATTTTATCAACTTGTTTCATTTCTAACATTCGTTTTGCTTTTTTGGAGCTTAATTTTCTTCTGCTTGAGAAGCTTTGCCCGTTTCTTTCTTCTGTAGCTGGTGAGTATAACCGGTTTTTATGAAGCGAATATGTGGAAGTGTTGGTTGCAAGTTCAAGCATTAATAATTCTTTCGAATTATGATTGATTCCTTTTATGACCTCATCATTTAAAATAATTTCTCACCATTATTACTATATTGTAAGATTTCCTTGTTTTTAATATCATTTAATGTTTGGCTTTTTTCGACTTTGACCTTTTTTAAACAACATCTTTTAAGGTAGTCTTTCTTTTCTTATCATAAGCTGACATATAATCAACATCTGTCAGATGTTTTCCAACAGTGTCTTCGATTATTGTCTTGATATTATATTTTTGTGTGCCTATTTATACTATTAATTGCTAATTGAATATAGCACTTAGGAGTATCTTAAGTTAGGCCGTTTATTTCGATGTTATTATCCACTAATCTAAATCTTGTGTAATTTTTAAATCCCCTTATAAAATTCCTTCGTGACCAGGTAAGGTTTCAAGGCGAGTTATAGAACCAAATCTTTATCATTTGAACATCTATTTAAAGAAAGCTACTCTATTTTGTGCATTGTGATTCTTAGCTTTAAGTTGAAATTCTTTAATACAATCATTGATATCTTTATTTTCATTGGTTCATCTCTCGGTTGTCTTCCAAGGGTCATATATTTGACACCATCCATAAGATAAGTAATTTGCACATTTCCTATTAATAATATTGTTTTATTAATTTTCTTTTTATAATAAAGTTACAGGCTTCGATAAAGTACATAAAAGGCCCTTTTTTTTTTTTTTTTTTTAATTAATAATGACGTTATGATATATTATTACTATAAAATGGTAAGTTTTAATTAATTCATTTTCTTTTTCGTTCTTTGTCCTCTTTAAATTTTTTCTTATCTAGAATAGTATTGTTTTATTAATTTTCTATTTATAGAGGTCTTTATTATTTTTCCTTCTACAATATATAGCTTATATACGCTCTTTTGGAGTACCTTATAGACACAAAAGGCCCTTTCCATTTCGGATGCAACTTATAGTTCTTTGAATGTTGTTGAGAAGCCTTGTATACTAATACTAGGTCTCCTCTTTTTAATTCTCCTATAGGCAGTATATTCTGATCATATCTCTTTTTAGCAATTTCTTGTGCTTTTTCAACTCTTTTAACGGTGTCGCTTCTTACTATAGGTAATATTTCTATTAATTCAAAGAGCCTTTGAATAAAGGTTCCTTCTAATAACTCTTCATTTTCATCAGGATGGATTGGAAAATGGGCTTCTCTCCCATATATCAGGAAGAATGGAGTTATCTTCGTTGTATTCTGTTTGGTAGTTCTATAGGCGAAGAGTACCGAAGGTATAAGCGAGTCCTATTCTCTAATGTTTGTGATTAATTTGGATATAGATTCACATAATGTCTTATTGAATCTTTCCACTAATCCATTTATTTGTGGATGATAGAGCATGGAGTAATGGTAGTTAATAATGAATTTCTTAAGAAATTCATCCATTAAATTGTTACAAAAATGTGTTCCTCGATCAGATAGTACATATTGTGGGTACCCGTGGTGACATACAATATCTTCATATATAAAGTCGGCCAACTCCTGAGCATTTGCATTTTTAATTGCTCTTGCTTTGGGCCATTTGGTCATGTAGTCTGTAGCGACTATAATGTATCTATTACCTTTAGGTGTTACAGGTAATTTTCCAACTATATCTTTCCTATTTTGTAGAAAGAAGCTTCTACTAGAATTGGGTGTAGTGGAGGCTTTACTAATTTCTTTCCTCTTCTTTAACATGCATCGTATATACAGACAAATCTTCGTATATCAGTATACATCTGTGGCCAATAGTACTTAGCCCGAATTTTATTAAACATGATGTCTATGCCAAAGTGTCCTCCTAATGGATGAGTATGGACCAAAAATAGAATTGGCTCTACTTCATGTTTCTGGATTACTTTCAATAGATAGTTAATATTTTGTTTATCTTTTTTATAAACTAAACCATCTTTTATTACGAAAAATTGACTTTGGCTTTGTATACTTCAACGTTCTTGTGGAGTTAATATACGTAGTAAAGTTTGTTCCATAATATATGTCTTTAATAATTGATATTGTAGTAACTTCATATTTGTTTTGCCAGAATACCGACTACCTGGACCGGATTAATCTTAAAGTCAGATTTCATTGAGAAGTTTTGTAGAATTTTTTTTTTTTTTTTTTTTTTTTTTTTTTTACTTATTTAATTTGTTTTGAAATTGAATTTCTTTTTGAAATCTTCTATTTAATTTCTTCTATAACTTAATTTTAAACCTTTTTACTAATTTTTTTAATTACACTAATCAGGTTCAATCTTCCGCAATACTTATTTATGGTAGCTAACCCTGCCAGTACCAGGCTTGATACGTGTCTTACAGGTCTAAACACATCCTAAATTTTTGCATAGTACCTATTTTAGTATAAGCTCTGCCAATATCAGGCTTGATACATGACTTATAGGCAGAGCACCGTTTTTTTTTTTTTTTTTTTTTTTTTTTTTTTTTAAAAAATATTTGTCTGTTAGTATAATTTTTTAACTAGATAAAAGATCTAAAGTATGGTTTTGTTGAACTTTTAAAGTTCTTAATAATTTAATGTCTATTTTTTTTTTAACTTTTCTTAAGTTCAAATTTTTCTAATTTTAAATTCTTTTCTTTTTGATACATCCTTGATAGCGTATCGACGTTTGAATGTTTCCTTCTGACGCAATATATGATTGAATAATCATAAGGTTGCAATCTCAAAATCTAACAGGTCCTCTTTCCTTTTGGTTCTGACATATGGAGCCATTTAAGAGCAGCGTGGTCCGTAATTAGAGTGAAATATTTTGCTCCCAGATAATAATAAAAGTGTTCTACAGCCCATACAATGGCTAAACACTCAACTTCTGGGGCAGAATAATTTCTTTCTGTTTTAGAAAGTCCACAACTGGTGTATGCTACCACATATTCTTTGTGGTTTTTATCTTTCTGGGCTAAGATAGCTTCTAACCCTACACCAGACACATCAGTATGTAGATAAAACATCTCTTTAAAATCAGAATATCTTAGTATAGGAGCCATCATAAGGTATCTTTTTAATGTTTCAAACGCCATTTGTTGATCTTCAGTCCACTTATAGAAGACATTTTTTTCTAATAACTTATGTAGAGGTCGGGCTATCGTGGCGAATCCTTTGATAAATCGATGATAATAAGACGCTAAGCCAATAAATCCTCTCAATTGTCAAAGATTCGCTGGTATGGGAAAATTTTTAACTTTTTCTATTTTAGACTCATCTGGTCTTACCCCGTCTTTATTAATTATATGACCTAGATAATTAATTTTTGATTTGAAAAAGATATACTTCTCCAGGTTTAATTTTAATTTGGCTTTTTTTAATTTACTAAATATAATTTTTAAATGTTCTAGATGCTCTTCAAACGAATTTGAGTATATATTAATATTATCAAAATATATTATAGCAAAATTTTTGATGCAATCCCCTAGTACAGAATCTATTAATCGTTGAAAAGTCTCAGATGCATTACAAAGGCCGAACAGCATTACTTTGAATGCGTAAGTACCATATTTTGTGATAAACATCGTTTTTTCTATGTCTCTTTCGTTTACCCCAACTTGCCAGTATCCACTTATTAGATCCAAAGTGAAAAACCAATGGGCCTTTCTGAACGTATCCAAGAGATCATTAATTAATAGTAAAGGATATGTATCCTTTTTAATAACTGCGTTTAGTTTTCTATAATCTACACAGAATAGTAATTTGCTATTTTTCTTCAGTACTATAACTACCAGAGATGCCCAGGGACTGTTTATTTCAACTATAAGTCCTTGTGCTTTTAATTTTTTTATTTCTTTTTTAATGAATTCATTTTCCTTATAGGCAGCCCTATAATATCCCTGTTTAATTAGAATAGCGTCATCTGTATTAATGCTATGCATAATAGCATTAGTACGACCTAATTCTTCAAGACTTTTAGTAAACAGATTTTCTTCTGTAAGTAAAAATTCTTTGGCTTTAATCTGTTGTTCTTGTTTTAATTCTTCATTATTAATCATTTCTCCTATTAATTCCTTTACAGGTTCATCTTTGTCTTTATCCTTTCTGTCTTTCTTTGTAGGTATCTCTTCGATGTTGGTGAAATATAACACAGGATTTTCTTCTCTTAAGAGTCAACTTTCAATGTTTTCTGCACTGAATTCTTCTTCCTCGTAGTCGAATTCATCGAAAGTATCCCCACTGTCACTCTGAACTTCTTCGTCTTCATATGGACCAAGGCATTTGGTACCTTTATTGAAAATTAATATCTTTGCTGATCTATCAGCATATTGTAAGTATAGTTTCTGCTCGTCAAAATGTATGTGAGCTTTAGTTTTCTGGAACCAGTCTGTTCCTAATAATAAGATATTGTCAGAGGATTCAATTATATGTAGAGTAGTAGGTATTACAACCTCCTGGATGATTATTCTAACATTCTTGGTTTTTAAGAGTGTCTTAGCCTTAGCTTCAGTTGCCATTATTACAACTGTGATAGACTTATCGTCTATCTTTAATTCTAGTTTGTCTAGTAAGCATTTGGATATAATGCTTACTGCTACACCTGAATCTAACATAGCCAATACCAGATTGTTTCGAATTCAGATATAGCACCTGGCTGCAGTCGTACGTCGTTGTTCTTCTGGATGAAGGAAATTGGTTTCTTTTATAATGGCTGAGCATTTTAATATTTTGGCTAAGTTTCTTTGCTAGTTTGGATATTGGAGTATCTGTTCTACTGTAACACTAATAGGTAAGGCTAGAATATCATCTGCTACATTGTACGGGCTTAGAGAATCAAATTTTGACAGCTCGCGTTTTCTTTTTGTTTTATTTAAGAGAATTAGATTTTGAATCACAGGGAGGTTGTCAATCTCCATA